AAATGATCAGGATGAAGAGACGAGTTGAAATCCGGGTGACTGTCTGTCCGTCCGTTCGTGCAAGCTCTAACTTGAGTAAAAATTGAGATATCTTTATGAAACTCGGTAGACATGTTTCTTGGTACCGTGAGACGGTTGGTATTGCAGATGGACGTAATCGGACCACTGCCACGCCCACAAAACGCCATTATTCAAAAACAAATAAATTGCCATAACTAAGCTCCACAACAAGATACAAGACTCTTATTTGGTATACAGGATCACAATAGGGAGGGGCATCTGCAGTTAAAATTTTTTTTAAAGTGGGCGTGGTCCCGCCCCTAATAGGTTTAATGTGTACATCACCTAAACCGCTAATGCAATAATAACAAAATTCACTGGAAGCAAATGTTTTTAGAACCTCTACCTACAGCGTGAAAATGGGTGAAATCGGGTGGCCCACTCCCCATATAACGGTACTCTTAAAAACTACTAAAAGCGCGATAAATCAAGCACTAAACACGCCAGAGACATTAAATTTTATCTCTGAGATGGTATAAGATGACTTTATAGGAACCGCGTTCAAAATTAGACAGTGGGCGTGGCACAGCCCACTTTTAGGTGAAAACCCATATCTTGAGATCTGCTTAACCGATTTCAACCAAATTCGGTGCATAACGTTCTTTTCATATTTCTATGTCATAGTGCGAAAATGGACTACAAGCACGCCTACTTCCCATTTAACACCATTTTAAATTCCATCTGATTCTTTCACTTTCCACTATGCAAATCCGGCAACAATGACTGTATCGGGATAAAACTTTGCGTGAATAATGCGATTAAAGTGGACTTATATGCGTTATAAGGCTACTCGGGACGGAGGCACCTAAAAATATTGAATACACATACCCAAAAGTTTTTTTTATAATACCCAATCCATTTTCTTTCGACAGTACATGGTAGCAAATGGTATAAAAAAATGTGGTTTTGACAGCCTCTCTCTCGATCAAAAAGAGTCTCGCATATTCATCCTTGAATGTGCGCCAGCGTTCATGAATAAAATTTTATTTTTGTGTGATTACTACAAATTTAAGATTGTCAATTTGGCTGCCATATTGATCTGACGCCTCATCTATTGGCTGAATTTTTAAAAACGAAAATCCAACTTAAAATAAAAAATTACTCCCTTATATTTTCTGTTTAACCGTGTATACCAAATTTTAATATTGTGTAGTCATGAAAAGTTACCAAAAATCGATATTAAGCTGCGAACTTACCGTGATTAACAAACACTTATTAGCAAACAACAAACTTCTTAGTCTTTAAAACAAAACAAACTTTATCAAAAACTTAATAAAATTATAGTTAGCGCTATCTTAGGTTATGTGTGTCAGATTACCACAGATTACTTAATAGGATATGCGAAGTTTGTATACTGAGTTCTGAAATATAACTCATAGTATACATATTTTATTATTATTAAATACTTACATTTAAATGAAATCATCACTGGTATTATTAATATTACCGTCAAAGTTTTTTAATTATAAACATTTTCAAATTCAATAAATTAAGCTCTATTTGTATTTAAATGAAATCATCACTGGTATTATTAATATTACCGTCAAAGTCGGTACATTTAATTGTGGCGAGTAATTTTCAAAAATTCGTAAATTAGTGCGATAATTTAATTAGTTAACCACATTTCCGAACAAACGATGCTCTTTCAATATAGTCTATGGCTGTGAATGACGATGACATTCGTTACGCGCGTTTTTTAAAATATGCAATTTTAGATGTATTTTTTCAATCTTTCTGAGATATTTTCTTACTATTTTTATTTTTTTTCCGTAAGAACCTTCTATAGAGTATTAGAAAACCACAAAAAAAAACAGCCAAATCGGTCTAGCCGTTCTCAAGTTATGGCGTGACAACGGGAAACGGGTTTAATTTATATATAGGTATATAGATATTTCGCAAACCATATAGGCTATATTACCAAATTTTCAGAAAACAAATTTCTTCAATACATTTTACCACATTATGAAAATAGGTAAACTACTGAAAGTGCGATAATTCACTAACTAAACATGTCAGAAACATTAAATATTACACATAAAATGGTACGATCGAGCACCGCCCACCTTTGGGTGAACACCTATATCTAAGAAAATATTAGACCCTTTTCATGCCTAGTGCGAAAATGAGCGAAATCGATCTACAAACACGACTACTGCCAATATAACACAAGTTTATATTCCTTCTGATTCTTTAAAATTGAAATATGAACCAATGAATATATCGGGATACAACTTTGCATAAATAGTGCCCTTAAAGTTTGCCAACTCAAGTCTAAAAAAAAATCGGACCATAACTTTTCAGGCCACCAGGTACCGAAAATATCGGTGAATGTGTAAGATATAGAATAAAAATTCGAGGAGAATCCTTTCTAATAACAATAGGTCTGTGTGTCAGCTTTTCGAACTTGCGGCAGACTTACTATCGCATATATCGGTCAATAGTTAGTTATCGTAATAAAATTGAGCAAATATGTTTTTCTAATAACGGTACATTCTTGTACCTAAAACATAAAATCGGCAGAAAACTTGCCCTAGCCCTCATATAACAAATATCGCGATTTTCGAGCATCCGGCTGACTTTACTCCATATATATTGGTGTTGGTCATGGTATGTGAGGTAGCCTGGGAGCAGTTTATTAGTCTGTGGCATGTTAATAGTATGTGAAATTGGCAAAAATAGATAAAATTCTGTCAATACCACCCTCAACTCCCATATACTGCTTACAATAATTTTCGCTTTTCTATCAAGTTGTATGCCAAATATGTCGTTCGATGCCCCCAGTATACCACATATAATGACTTTCGTCTTTCCAGCGGACTTTATACCATTCAGGTTGGTCAAAATGTCATATTTTAATGAAATTAAATTAACAAGTTTTCTTAAAAATTATGTGGTTTGGAGCTGAATTAATCTTGGTCAAAACCTTATATCTCTAATACAAAGAGTTCCGATCNGGTTACACCCGAACTTAGCCCTTCCTTACTTTTTTATTATTTTTATTATAAGGTAAGACTCGCCCATTAAGGCGAGTGAGTCAATACAATTAATTTTAATCGTAATTGCAGTACTAGTATTGCAGTATGTTATTCTGTTTTAGTTATTGTTCTTTCCCATACTGCAGGGAAATTTGCTCTACATGTTGCTGTTACCAACTAACTATTCCCCCGCTACAAGAGGATAAATGCACGTATTGCTTGAGAAAAATACGTTTAGTATGATTATTTTTGCAATGTAAACTTTGCTCTTACGGCGCTTGTTAGTACTATAGGCTAATAGGATGATAAGTAAAACCAATGGTAAAGTCGTAAGCTAAAAACCATTGCGACAACTGCTTTTCCTGCTCCTAGTTCGTCAAGTTGAGAAATTGAGAAAGTAGCGCTCCAGGATACGCACTTACTGTCTTTCGCCAATTAGCGTATGTAATTTCATTAATGGTAACATTCCAATTAAACTTCAACATAAATATTTCCTGTAAACTTACTGATAAAAAATTGAAACCATTGTAAAGTTTTGAAAAATTTTTGGTTCTTATCGTCTCACTGATTGCTTTCAAGTATTCAAGTGCTTTCGTTCACCTAACCGTTGTTTGTAATTTTAAACTAATTGAGATAGATGTATATCTAATTGATATGAAGACGAGTTTGATTCCGGATAGCTGTCTGTCCGGCCAGCGATACTTGATTAAAAGGTAAGATGTCTGAATGAAACTTCCATAGCGCTCTGAGTAGATTGGTATTGCAGATGGGGTGAAAAATTTATAATTGAGCTACAAATTAATATAAAAAACTGTAATTTTGTATGGTATAGATTATTTTAAAAGTGGGAAACCTGCCTATAGGTTAAATGTACACATCTCACCATTAAATCTATATAAACCAAACATCCTGAAAATCAATATTTCTAGTACCCTCTTATACAATATTAAAATTATCAACTAAATTCATTCAAAGTTTCATTGGTGTATATTATTCATTAATAACGTGAATAATAACACTGTAAAGCACTAGGGTATTCCAAAATCAATTTTTTTGATGAGGGGAGACTAAGTCTTAAGGAAAAAAGCAGTGTAGCCTGTTTTTCAGAGTTAGCATCCAAAATCGAAATATATGCCTTCAAAGTTCCGAATTGAATATACATCAAGCATCACTATTAACTATGGTTTGTAAATTACATAATCTTCCTTTTCCTCCTGTTTCAATGATCACTACAAAGATCAAAGTTTAATGTAATACATATCTACCTTGTCCTCTTATTTCAATGATTTTAACATTTTTCTGTCAATACTATGATGATGCTACAAGAGATCTAAGTTTAATCTTCGAAAAACATGTTTTTTCGTGTATATCCCTGCCAGCCAAAAGTGATTAAAAAACTAGTGAAAAACTATGTTTTCCAACCCTTAAACTGGTTAACCTTTGGCGTCGTGACAATCTGCACTACTTTCTCCTTATACGTACGTACAAGTATATGGTACGAGTGATCATGCATCCTATGCACTTATTCAGCAGTGTCATACAAAAAATATATAGCTGAACTGCTGTAATTTCCCTAATCGTCAACTGACGAAGTATTGCATTTTCGGATTCCTAATAAAAAATATTGTTAAAATTTTAAACAAAATTTTGAAATTATTTATTTTTTTCTTATCAACTCAGTTACAAATATTAAAACTTCCATGCTAGATTAATAGACATATATTTTTAACATTAATATATTTAATACAAATAATTTTGCGTCCTGATAATACATTAGTTTATCGATTTATAAAAAAAGTAAGAATCTTTTTGATGATGTCCGCATTTACGGCCATCATTTCATTATTGACACTTTCACTTGCTCTCATGGCTAAACTCAAAAACCGAAAACGTACCTTGGGAGTTTTTAGCATTTTTTTAAAAATCAGTGCTAGACTAGTGTTCCAAAATTTCGATAATTTTTTCGAAGCATCATGACAAGCAAGTGATTCATCGAATCTGAAAATGCTTTCAAAAAAAAATTTATTCTTATACATTCAAGCATAAATGTTTACATTTAGGTACATCATCATGGCTAAACCACAAGTCACAATCAATTTCGATTAGCGGTTTTGAATGTAGCTGCGTAGGAATGGCTCGAAGACCTGAGTTTTTCCCAGTAAATCTTCAATTTAGCGTAAAACTGTTGAACCTTTTATGTAGGGCACTGGAGAAAGCATTGTCTGATCCACAGTTGGATAGATGAACTACTTTATTTATACTAAAAAATATATTAATTAATAAAATATATATTTACGAAATTACACATAGTTTTCTCAACTTACTTTCCTTGTGTGTTTTACAAACGCAAGTGACTTGTTGCATTTGCTATTTTCCGTTTTGGGATGTGTCTATTGACATTAATGACAAATATGACAAAAATTATATAGCAAGTTTTGTTTTTTTGGGAAATTCGAAATTGGTTAAAAAAGGAATGTCCCTAAAATATGCGTTGCTGTAAGTGCTTGAAGAAGAAATGTGTAATTGTGTTAAACCTCCGGAGAAAGTGGTTAGTCGTGGCTTGCAGGGATGTAAAACTATTTACAAATAATGTTGGTTGAAGATTCATAAGTTATTTTCGTTTAAATAAGGAAGCGTTTTATTTTCTGCTAAATAATAAAGAAGGAACATTTCCACAAACGTGTGTGAGGAGCTGTCTGTTTCTTTATGACCAGTAGATTAAAAACCAAATTACTGAAGAAGATCAAAACATTTCAAAGATTGCCTTATACGTAAAAATAATGGTTGGTTGGCATCATTTTACCATGAAAAGAATTGCAATATCTATTATCGAAGTATTTTATTATTTATGAGAATTTTAAGCTTTTTGAATACCGGTTTATGGTGCAAATCACGACGCTTTCGTTTTTAATCTGAACGATTAAAAGGGCATTTGCTAAACAAAGCAATATTTGGTTCTTAGGTAAGACTAGTTACTGTATTTATTACAAAATAATACGCTTCTCTCACCTGATTTTGAAACAATGCCAACTTTTTTATTTCTAATAACTCTTTGTATATAATACAATTTAATAATCTTTTTACTAATCTGTGTTTCGTATAGATTGGCAAGAAGCCCCATCCTTTTCCTTTCCACATAATTTTTCCTCCTCGCTTGTGCTCGTTGCATTGAAGTGGGACGGTCTGTCACTACCGGTATATTGGACAAGAGCAAAACTTCTACGAGCCTTTGTGGTGGTATACATTATTAAACAAGTAAGGAAGAGCTAAGTTCGGGTGTAACCGAACCTTTTGTTCTCTTGCAACTTTCAAGAATTAAAGTCCAGTAAATTCCTTCAGGTGGTGGTAAAACAAATTTGGTATCTTCTTGACTTATATTGAAGGCCATAACCTTAGACTCAGTTTTATTGTTAAATATTAGTTCGCGGCAGCTAAAATTTATTATATCTTCAAATGAGATGTGATATTAACTCGACCGAAAAGACTAAATTTAATATACATATATTGAGTTGATGTGGAAAACGTCAACCAGAGGATCGGAACTCTTTGTATTAGAGATATAAGGTTTTGACCAAGGTTAATTCAGCTCCAAACTACATAGCGTTTAAGAAAACTTGTCCAATTAATTTCATTAAAATATCACATTTTGACCAACCTGAATGGTATAAAGTCCGCTGGAAAGACGGAAGTCATTATATGTGGTATACTGGGGACATCGAACGACATATTTGGTATACAACTTGATAGAATAGCGAAAATTATAATAAGCAGTATATGGGAGTTGAGGGTGGTATTGACCCGATTGGTTGGCAACTAAGTAATTGCGGATTTTTTTTTTTTAAATCTAAGACAATTTTTTCATGGAACTAAATAATTTTATTCGGTAGTGTATTGCCCATTTTGATCAATAACCTTTTGCCATCTTTCAGGCACCATCATAATCCCACGTTCATAAACTTCTTAACAAAAAACTGAATCAGGTACGATTTGACAACATCATCATTATTGAAATTTTTACCATTCAAGGAGGTTTGTAAAGATCGAAACAAAAAGTAATCCGATGGTGCAAGGTCAGGACTATATGGTGAATGTGGC